GATTGGTTCTCAGAGAGCTCAAGTTTAAAGCTCAGGCTCTGGATTCAGACCAATCTAAATTCAAAGTCTAGATATCCCACAAAATAGCTCAGCTGTCACAGAAAGGTTATTTTATTTTTCAGATCTTCAGTTCCTTCATCTATAAAATAGGATAAACTACTATTTCTCCCACAAGGCTGCTGCATGAACTAAAATTAAGTAAGATGAGTGCTTAATATAATACTGGCAAAAAGTGTTACGTGTACGTAGAAACAATCTACTACATCATATATGGTAAGGGTAAACACCAGCAAACTTTACCAAAATGCTGGAAACAAAGTGGGCACTAAAGAACTTAATGGGTGCATAAATAATTAATTTTTTTTCTTCTACTATAAAATTGAACTTTGTTCCATGACCTTATTATAGAGATAGCATGATCATTTGTCATGAAGACTCAGATGCCTAGAAATAAAGAGAATAGTGTTATCCTCTTCCTTTTCCCTCCACTTTTAATTTAAAAAAACATTTTTTCTCTTTCTTTACCTTGAAGAACTAGGACTGAAATTAGGGTGGAAGAGATGATGAAGACTGAGCAAGCAGAAAGCAAGGGAAAAGACCAGTTCTACACAGTTTAATGAGCTAATAGTTTGATGATACCTAACAGAGAACAGGTTTCCTTCACTGCTGGGGAAGTGAATTATCAACATGGAAAGAGTTGTGGAAACTTCCTTGAGTCATTTGTCTCTATGCTGCCATGGTGAGTCTTCGAGGTAAAAACAAGATAGGCTGATTCTGCAACCTAGCACTTCCAAGAAACAGGATGTCGTTCCTGATCATGACGCCACACCAGAACCTTGTCTGGGTCTACCTGCCCACTCATCAGACTGACATATTTAAGCAAGGACAAATCCAAGGGGCTTTGGGGATAGCTCAGTGGTAAAAAGCATCTGCCTTGTGAGTATGAAGCTCTGAGTTTGATCCCCAATAATGCCCACATGCATTGATCCCAGTCCCAGAAACTTTGCTGTGTGAAACCCCCCGTGCTGCACAGAATGGGATACCCTCTGTGCAACAGTCAGACATGTGAGCACTGAAATGAGGGATGCGGTTCCCGAGAGCATGACAACCAACACATGTGTGAACATCATAACCCCCAGGGAATATATGTGCAAGCACCACAACAAAGCAAGTGTGTGACCTTCAGTAGGTACCACAACTAAGTGTGTGAGAACCATAGCAAGTGTAGGCATTCCCCAGTCATCACAACAATAGAGACAAAAAGGAAAAGGGTAGTAAAGAGAACTAAACCAGAAAATTTTACGACGAAATACCTACGCTCAAATTTCTTCTCTGGTTGAATACTAAAGTTCCCCTTTCCTGACTCTGAACGTACACCCCTTGGGATATCCAATAAGCATATGAATATATGAATAATAGCCTGATTATTTCTCTTGAGCTGAGAGAGCAAAAGCTAGAATGTCTCTACAGCGCTAGGTCAGACTTGAAACTATTAATGTGGCATTACAGCACTGAATACAGAGAACCAGACGTGCCTGTGCGTCCGCATGCTCTTGCTCCTTTGGCTCAGAGGCCCGAGAAACACGGAGCACACAATACCCGGAACTCTATATTATTTTCTACAGTGGATTCGGGTCTCCTGGGATGTGGGTAATTGCAGAATTGAGAGAAAGCACAAGACGATCATGCCAAGGAAGTCCTCAGAAAATCATGAGATCTTGTCAAAACAAACAAATGAAAAGACACAACAGACAAATTGAAGGGGTTCCTCAAACAGAGATCATTTGGGCAACAAAGTAAATAATTATATTAGAGGATTTTAACTCATGAAATAAAACAGAAATCCGTAAACACATGTTAACATAAATAGAGAAGGAAGTAGAGGAAATGGGGGAGCGCTTCCTCATAGTAGAAAGTTTGTTTATGACCAGTATTTACACAGACTCAACATGTCTTCCTACAAAGCATAAGTTACGAAGGGAAAAACTGGAACTTCACAGCTGAAAAGGACTGAGTTGAAGTCAGACTGGTTACAGGACCAACTCAATATAAGCATCTCCTCTACAACAAAAGAATACAACCTTGCTTCTATAGTATTCTGGTCACAAGCCACAGGGCTCAAGGAAGAAATGTCACACAAACCTAAAATGAGGCATGTTTTTACTAAATTTGCTATTCAGGGGATGGAGAGATTGCATAGCAGGTAGGGCACTTGCCTTCATCTGGCCAACCTGGGCTTAACCCCTGACACCCCCTGGGTCTCCTGAGACCTGCCAGGAGCACAGATCCAGTAGTAAACCCTGAGCACTGCCCTTGTGGTCTAAAACCAAACCAGTCAACCGACCAAACAACCCCTGCCCCCCAGATTTACTCTTCAAAAGTAGCAAGTCACAGAAGACAAAGACTATTCAAGAATGAAGGAGAGAAGTGACAACTGAATGCAGCATGTAATCCTGAACTGATGTAATAACAGTTTTTCCTATAAAAGATATTATTGAGACATTTGTCAAAAAAGATGAATGAAGTACTATGCATTAGAGAGTATTATTGTGGGCAGGGGATGTGGAACAGTGGTGGCACAAATGTCCTGTAGGTGTGACACTCTGGCTGGCTTCAGTTCCAGGACTGCACAATTCCTCCTCAGCCCGTGCAGGGAGGAGCTGGTAGTCTTTGGGACTGCTGGGACCCCCCACACCAGCTCCATTAACGACAGGAAGTCACACTGTATCCATACCAAGTAACTGAATTTGATTTTACTGCAATTACATAAGGGAGATTCTGAATACTAACACTTAAATATATATAAATTGATTCAGAAAAAACATCACGGTCACGGTCCGCCCGTTGTTCATCAATTTGCTAGAGAGGGCCCAGTAACGTCTCCATCATGAGACTTGTTGTTACTGTGTTTGGCATATCGAATACGTCACGGGTAGCTTGCCAGGCTCTGCCGTGCGGGCGAGATACTCTTGGTAGCTTGCCGGGCTCTCCAAGAGGGGCGGAGGAATCGAACTTGGGTGGGCCATGTTGGCTGCTTGTAAGGCAAACGCCCTACCGCTGTGCTATTCCAGCCCCAGAAAAAAATATATCCAAATATATACAAGCACAAGGGTGCAGAAAGAGGGAGGAGAGGGGAAGTGGGAGGAGAAGGAAGATAAAATGGGGAAAGAAAATGTGTAAAACATGAGAAATTGAAAAACCTGGGTGAAGAGTATATAAGAAATCTTTCTTCTTTTTTCCTGTGAATTTTAACTTGGTTCAACGGTCATGTTAAGGAGAAAACAAAATAGCACGGACCCAGTTTTGCTTTCCCAGACTTAGTTGGCCGCCATGAAACAAGGGGGAAGCTATTCAATCGTTCTAAGCATTAGCATTTTAAGTTTGATCACCCAAATTGTACTGCTTTAAGGAGATGCTGTAAGAATTAAATAAGAAAACGCAGAGGGCCTGAGCGACAGTACAGTAGGTAGGGCGTTTACCTTGCATGTGGCCTTCCTGGTTTCAATCCCTGGCATCCATATGATTCCCCGAGCACTGCCAGGAATAAGTCTGGAGTGCAGAGCCAGGAATAATCTGAGCATCACTGAGTGTGACCCATAAAGAAAAAAGAAAAAAAAAAAAAAGAAAACACAGAGTCTGCGTCCCAGGGAAGAGATGGGCTTGTCTGAGGAAGGTTCTGATTGAAAACTAACTGGGAAAAGTAACAAGCTCTCCCTTCCTGTCCCCCCTCTTCCAACTGAAACAAGTGCTGCTGCACTGAAGAAAATGAGATTCTTCCAATTTTAGCCATTTGAGGAATGAGTACTGTTGTTGTTGTTTTTTTTTTTTTAATCACCTGCATAACATAAAAAAAGAAACAACAACTGGAATAATATGAGGCTGGAGAGACACTAACATGGTAAGACGTAAGATGTTTGCTTTGCATGCAGGTGACCCTATGGAGATGGGTTACATCTCTAGCACTATATCTGGTCCCCTAGCACTGCCAGAAATGATCCCTGGGCACAGAGTCAAGAGCAAGCACTCAGCACTGCTGGGTCAACACCAAAACATACCCTAAACAAAACGACAATAAACATAAACATAAACATGATCACAACAATAGCACTCAATCATTTGGATGTTGCTCTACATAGGCTTCAGTACTTTTCACTCATGTCTCAGTGAAGCTGAATGGAACAGACAGCATTCAAGTTCAGTTCAACATGTTAATAATAGCGGATCACTAGAGGGCCTTGGGTTATGACTTTCAAATGAAAGGTCATGCCCTCATTACTTAAATCTCAAAGAAGGCTTGTATCAGTTCAGGGTTGCAAGGTACAGAATGGGGTTCAATTTAGCATCCATGCGGGACATGGAACATTCCTACGATGCTGGCATTATAGGTGAATAGATCTGGAGAGTTATCATGTTGAGTGAAATCAGTCAGGAGAGGGAAGAAACCCAGAATGATCTTTCTTCGATGAAGACTATGAAGAAACAGAATAGAAGAATAACAAATACCCAAAGATGACAGAAATAGAGATCCTGTCTGAAGTAGGAAGTTTACCACTGGGGTGGGGAGGGTGCGTGAGGGCCCTTGGGCCGATAACAGAGGGAGGGGACACATGGGCAGTGCTGGAATAGCTCATGTCTGAAACCCTACTAACAACAGTCTGTAAAGAACAGTGCCCAGAATAAAAGAACTAACCATAAAAAAAATTAAATGTTGACATTAGCTGCTTGTAGCTCAGACAGCATGTAGTTGGGGCAGTGACAAGGCCCCGACTTGAGGAGACTTAGGTTATGTCTGGGAAGTTTCTTCTTTCACCTCAGAGGTGCACATGAATTTAAAATGACCCCAGAGAGTGTTTCAGAAACGCCTGCCAAAGAGTGATGTCCTCTAATCTGGACAACAGCTGCTGGGCACTGGCATGCAAGCACGCATGCGCACACTCACACATGCACACACACACACACGCACACACACACACACAGAGTCACACTCACAAAGTCTATACCTGTCTCTATCTGTTTGCACTGGACAGATGGATCCCGGCTTTTGAGTTGTCTCATCACGCGGCCTGGTGGAGTGAGACCCTTTCTTCTGTGGAGACTGGCAAGCTGTGGACTGAGGCATTCAGCAAAGTCGCCTGTCTTCAGAGTATGAAGGACACTGTCCGCAGAGGGAGGAGGGTTTTATTTAGTGTTTGGGCCCAATCATTGTTGGGCTCCCCACTTCCTTGCCAGTGCAGAACTGTGAGTGGTCCCTGGTTGCAAACCCTTCGTGACTTTGAAGCCCACAAAACAGAAACTGAGAGAGTGTCCAAAAAGAAACGAAGAAAACATTGCTGTTGGTCCCTGGATTCCACTATTGGATTTTGGTGGGGATGAGAAGAGGGAACCGCGGGGTGTGGTCGAGCAAAGTTTAGCTGAGCAGTAAGGTAAGTGTCCCTGTCATTGTTGAGAAGAAGCTTGGGGATGTGTTATGGAACATCCAAAGTTGCTAACACCACTTTCCAGGTCACCTGGACAGTCTACAAGGGGAGGCAGTCAACCTCAGGCTTGATTAAGAATTTATGATAGATGGTGACATAACTAACATGTGTAAGAGCCACTTGGAACAGAGAAGTACAACTGGCAAGTTGCTAAATTCATAGGCAAGAAAAAAACATGATGGAAATTTAAATTGCTACTCTCAAAGTAAAACAAATTCTTGTAGAAATGCTGTTCTTTGCTAATAATTTCATTTTGTGGATGATCAATATGTAACTTCAAGATTTTTTACCATGTGATGAAAATGGATATGAATACCAGATATATTACTTTGGAGAGGAATAATTATCTTCTCATAGAAAGAGGGAAGAAACCAGCATCTACGAAGGGCAACTAGATTGCAGTCTTCGAAAGAAAGCAAAAAACCTTTGATCCTAATTCGTTTCTAATTCTTTTATGCTAAGACTGATGAATGGGGGCCATAAAATAGAAGTTGATTATTGAGAGGTGCTTCTGAATGCTTACTTTTTATTTTTTTATTTTTGGGACCACACCTGGTGATGCTCAGGGGTTACTCCTGGCTCTGCACTCAGGAATCACTCCTGGTGGTACTCGGGGAACCATATGGGATGCCAGAGATCAAACCCGGGTCAGCCATGTTAAGGGCAAGTGTACTACCCACTATACTTACTACCTCTCCAGCACCTGAATGGTTTTAAGAAACACTTCATATCTCTAAAAACTTCTTATCATGATTTGGTATTCATGGGTGCATCACATCTCCATGTTCATGGGAATAGTGCTAGATTGGTGTTAATCTTATCGAAGATTGTTTTACTCACTGTACATGCTCACTGGAAGTGAGTATTATTCAATGTTCAGCGTGATGGCACAGTTTTGAACTCGGCATCCCATTCAAAGGAGAAACAAATTTAGAAAAATGACTGGGTTATCATGCTTTTTTAACTCTTCATAATAATTGGTGTTCACAATGTAGTTTTAAAATATCTGTGCAAGGCTCAGGAAGAATTTCAAGAGGTACAATACAAATATTGCTAAATTACACTCACCATATGACATGTGTGTAGTAATTTGTGTAATGGGCTCATGGACTACCATACTACTTGAGAGAGAGAACTCTTTTGAACAACGGTAATATTTCTGCAACTTCAAGTGAAAAGGTCACATGGTGATGATACTATCTAATATACTAATCTTCTATCTATGCAAAACAAATATCCCAAGCAAACATAACTCTATAATATGTTGTCAGTGGATATTAGTATGAAATTACAAGTATGCTGAATTAAAAAAAGCATAAGAGCTGATGACTTTTGTGAATCTAAAGGCAATAATAATTTTCATAGCTGTCTCCACTTACTTAAACAGACTGGCCAGTTAAGCCAGGTCTATTCTTGGGTTGGAGAGATAGATAATACAGTGGGTACGGTGCCTGCCTGTACTCAGTTGACCTGGTTCAATTCCCAGCACCCCATATGATCACCTGAGGACTGTCAGAAGTGACCCTTGAGCACAGAGCGAGGAGTAATCCCTGAGCATTGCCAGACAAACCCACAAAACAAAATGAAATAAAATAAAGACAGGTCTAATCTGATTTCCTCAAAGAATGGAGGGTTTGGGTTCTTAAGAAAACGCTTTATAAAAATTCTGGGGCAAAGAAATTCTTAAGCATTAACAAAGGGAAGGAAAAAATTTTTTTAGGTTCAGCTTCTGCTAAAATAATTGTCTTTTTAAAAAATGTAAACTTACTGAAGTAATGAATTTGTTTGCTAAGAACTGGTCTTAGGTAAGTGAGACTATTTTTTGGATATAGAGCTACTTCATTGTGGTCTAAATCATGATGGTGCAATTGATAAAACATAGTAGGAAACTGATATTGCAGCTTGCTAAGAGTTTCTTATAAATCCAAGAAAAGAAAAATACAGGGGCTTATAATTTTTCTTTTAGAAGGGTCCATATTATTCTTCATGTCAATCTAAAGCAAACTTTTTGTTATCACTATAATACTTTTGTCATCTCTCAAAAATGTCATGGTAAAAACATTTAAAGAAAAAAATGGTCATGCTGAGCACAATATTTTTTGATCCACTGTAATAATGGGGAACACTTTTATAGTAAAGGGCTTAGTTTGTTTGCCCATTTATTCATTCATTCAGCAAATATTTTAGAGTGCCTACTATCTGCCAAGTCCTACTGTGTGTGTACCCAAGTGTTAGGTTATTAGGGACCCAGCAGTGAATAAGACAAACATGATTTCTACAAACCCGGATTGTAGGACTATTCATAGGGGAGTCAATTACTAGTTATCTGAATTTGTATATTGTTTATGTTTACCACAGTGAGTGTTTTTCCTCTCATTTCTGATAAAAAGTTTAATCCAATTTTTTAAAATTTCTATTTTGAAATGAATTATTCTTTGCCTGCAATATGTGGAGATAGTTTCAAAAATCAAATAATCAGATGAGAATATACATTGTATTGCAACACTCTGACCTACTTTGAGGAATGCTAACATTTCTGTTCTAAGGTACAGATGTTGGACAAAAACGTCATATACCTTTTGGTATCAAGTAAACATGATATCAAAAGTCTCATGCTTGCTTCTTGAGAAGTGGGTCAGACAGAAAGTCCCTAAGGAAACACTGGCACACAATCTGAATATGTTCTCATAGCCAGTTGAAGTTCAAAGCAGATGGAAGTTGAATATGCATCTATAATATCTGACTGTAGAGACAATTTAACAGTTGGAGGAAAAGTCAAAGAATAGCCATAACTCATGTGTTTTGACCTTGGTGGAGGAAACTTTGTCTGATGGCATTAATTGTAACACAAATGTCATTTGGTAGTTTTCAAGTATTTTACGTGGTTTAGGAAACACAGATAGGGGCTCGAGCAATAGTATGGCGGGTAGGGCATTTGCTTTGCATGCAGCCGACCCGGGTTCGATTCCCAGTATCCCATATGGTTTCCCTGAGCACTGCCAGGAGTAATTCCTGAGCGCATGAGTCAGAAGTAACCCCTGTGCATAGCCGGGTGTGACCCAAAAAGAAAAAAAAAAGGAAACTCAGATAGTTGATCCCAAGGTGACCTTAATCCCAGAAAGACATCATTTCATGTTCAGAAGACCAAACTAGACTTTAGAAGTTAGCTAATTTTCTCTCTGATGCACAATCTCATTCAGTAATTTCTCAAATATCAAACTAGAGGCAATGAGTGTTCAAAGTGAGTATTGAGTTTTCGTAGCTCCAACCTACTTTTAGAAGTGGCAGCAGCTAACTGAAAAGTTTCTGTACTGCCCCCACCCTGCTCATACCTACTCCCCTCCCCTCACTCCAGTCCCCATTTTCCTCCTAAGTACTCACTTTACACTTCTTTCCTCTGGATCTCTAAAGAGCATCAGAGTTGCTGAAAGAGACATAATCTACTGTTTTGTTTTATGTTTCCCTTTCTTTTTGGTTTTGGAGCTCATCTGGTGGTGCTCAGGGACTACCCTTGGTTCTGCATTCAGGAGTTACTCCTGGAAGTGCTTGGGGTACCAGATCTGGTGCCGGGGATAGAACTTGGGTCAGCCTCATGCAAGGCAAATGCCCTACCCACTATTCTATCACTCCACCTCCTGTTCTTGTCTTTGAAAGACAAGAACAGTATTACATATTAGTATGTTTACCTTCATGTGAATGCAGAAGAAATTTTAAACTGCTGGCTGATGAATGCCAAACTGGCAGTAAAAAAAAAAAATCTGCCATATTAAATCAAACCAATTATTTAGTCAATCCACCTTCTGGTAGAAACATAAATGGACCCTTGAGAGGGCAGCTGATCACGAGTAAGAGAGAACATTATGAAAAAAAAATCCCTTTGCAAAAGATGTAAGAATGGTTAACTGAGAGGGTAACAAGACAGGCAGACTAGCAGACTGATGTAACTTGGTTGCAAAAATGCATGCGTGGCATGCAAGAGACCTTGGTTCAGTGTTGGCACTGCAAATAACACATATAAACAGGCAAACAAACAAAAAGGCAGATGGGACAGAGCAGTCTTTCTGGTGGAGTTTGAAAGAGTGACCTGGCCTGCTGCGAACAGATACTAAAAGTCTTCATTTCACTCTTCCAGTTTTCCATTGAATTCATTTTGCACATATCTAAATTTGGTTGTCATTGTTTGGTGATTCAAGTTCATTGTAGATCTTCAGGATGGATCTGAGAACCCTTTATCGGAAGAGTCAAATTTGGAGAAAAAAGCATAATCCCTCCCTACCCCCACCCCCAACACTTTCCCCCCTTTCCACTACCCCCCTCCTCCCGACCGTTCCTGGCCTTGTAACAGAGAAAAGGAGGCAGCTGCATCTGAGCCATGTTATTAAACTGCCAGGTTGCGCGTAGTGACACCAAGTCCTTGGTTTCCAGCTGCCTGGAACATCTTTTCTACAAACCTATTTTAGGAATCTTTGCATTTGATCAGGGAGCATGTGGGGTTATGCCTTGTGTTTTCTACTTCAGTTTTAGATCCGAAGCAGGTGCAGTTAGTAGCTCAGAATGTAAAAACCTGTTACTGTATTTCCTTCCAACCGATGCAAAAATAACTTTATATTAAAGAAGAAAAGCAAATGATTGCCATCGAACCTCTTCAAAACCTTCAGTCACCAAAGGGAGATGATACTTGCATTGGCTTGTTAGGTTCAATAAAGGAGAAATATAAAACTAGGGAACTATAGTTAGTGGTATATAGGAAGTGTACAAGAACCAGGCACTAATACTATTACTGTTATGAATGCAGAAAAATCCCTCCACTACGTATTTTGTTAGTTTGGGCCTAAAAAAATACGTAGTACTCCAAGTTTTCTGATAAGCTGATAAATGTTACAAAGACTCCAAAGTTGATAAATTCTACAAGATACAGACATAAAACTTTGGAGTCCGTAGAACAA